ACCACGGTGTAAAGTCAGGAAATGAACCCTCTCACAGAGCGTAGGCAGCGGGAGCGCGCACGCCCTTGTACCACGTAGGTAGCATTGTCCTGTACCAGTCCTGTGTTATCAGATGGTCGGTTTGAATTCACTGGCTGCACAAAAAGGCATGAAATGGACGATTGGTAATCAATAGTAGGATAATCAATTAGGAGCCAACAGTTGTGTTTTAGCAAAGGCAATTTTTAACAGTGTGAACCACAAGGCCACGCACTCAGGTGATGGCTCCATTCGTGCGTATTTGTCTACATTCCAAATGCTCCCCTCTTTGATACCGAGGTTGCTCTCACTTGGGCGCGGGCGAGCACGCACTTGGCACCGCGTCCTATTTTTCCTCTCCAGGATAGCCCCTACCTGGAGAGAGAGAAAGAGAGGGAGCGTTTCTCACTCAGACAAACCTGAGACGTGGACGCAAACTGCTGTCGCTGTCAGCGGACTCGTGTAATTATCCTCTCGAAAAGTATCGCGGAGCCATTATCCACAAAGTACCCGTTATAGGTGCTCGGAGGCAATGCATGACGGTAAATGTAGCCTAAAAGCCTGATTATGTTTTTTGTTTCGTGACTGGATGTGTTGAGGCTTAGAGAATGGGACATGGAAGCCACCCCTTCACTTGATTTCCAATAGCACCGGAGCTTATTCAGCGCGGAGTAAAAGTGTCTCTGTTCAAAAGCTGTCATTTGTAATCCCAAACTGTCGCCACGATGGGAGACGCTGTAGCCTCGGCTGTCCTCCTCTGTCGGTGTGAACGAGCCCCTGCACTGCTCTATTTTTTAATGGCCTACAAACAGCAGCGCTGTTGTGCCTAAAGCTTGATTCAGGGTCCAGTTTTGATGGCAGGAGATAATTTCAGTCAGTGTGTCAGTCAGCTCTGATTAAAATCGACACAGGGCAGTTTTCTACATTTACCACACGGAGAGGATTCCAACACCAGTGTGTGTTTGTGTGTCTTCTTCCTGTAAATGGCCTCATCGTTAATTACTATTGTAGTTTTCCCTCAGTAGAATAATCAGAGGTCAAAAAGATCAAATCACAGAGATAGAAAACACTAATTTAACATCACTAGCCTATTTCTATAACAAGCATAACAAAACTAAAAATATAATTAGAGATTTCTAGATTTTAAATCGCTGCACAGATAAATAACACACAGGAGCACATGTAAGTGAAACTATTTTAAAATCTGTGTGAGTGTGTGTGTGTGTGTGTTTCCTCATAATATCCGGGTCTATACTGTGTCACATTTGCTCACACTTTCATTCATTACATATACCGTACAAAAATAGCACTGCTCATATGAACCATTCATCTCGATAACAAAATTAAAATAAAAAGGTGCATGGTAAAAATACACCTCAGCAGAAAAAGGGGCATGAATGATTAATAAATAATTAAATAATTAATGCTCCAACGCTGCTCCAACTCTGTAACCCGGTGATTAAAATCGCTACAGGCAGTCACGGTGTAAATGTAAATATCTGACAGTTAAAAAAGCTCCTTTATTCGTTTTGAAAGCAGCGTAGCACCGCTGTTACATTTCTTACTCTGTGACTCATCTGTTATCTTTCTATTCTTTTTAAGAAAAAGGCTGCTACTCTGTCAGCATGAGAACCAACTCGGCTTCTGAGAACAAATCGAGGGCGTCAGATTCTGTTGCTCCGGCCCGTGAAACCTGAAAACTACAGTGGTTTTTCCTAGAATGATGCAAATGAGAGGGATAAATAAACCGTCTATTATTAGTGTGTTAAAAAAAGTAGCACTTGGTATTGTGTGTCATTCTTCCCGACGAGAGAAAAAGCAAACACAACGGTGTGTCGACTGACTGGCGATGCTTATCTGTGTCTGTATCGCTTCTCGCCAGACGCACTGATGTAATCTCTCCTTCAACGCACGGGGCCTGTTCACCTCTTAGCCTGTGCATCCCCACGGAAACAAAGGCATTTTGGCTAATTGATGAATTCTGGCATAAACACTAGACCAAGTAATTAACCCTAAAATTAGGCAAATTCCGTTTGGGCGCAGAATGAATCCACGAGTCCTGCAATAAGGTGCAGAACAAAATCTCGACCTTGACAAGAAATTCAAACCACATCACCTGCTGCACGTCTTTGTCACGCTGAAGACCGGAGGTAGATTTTTTTTTAATTCAAGTTTAAACGATTTTATACTATTTTAACATTATTATGATTATTACAGCCTAACAGGTCGGTTTGGGTATTCTGAAAAACATTCGAGGAAAACTCAGATATGATTTGAGATCTTCTCTCGCGCCCTGCTGGAGCTGTTGGCCCGTGCCAGCGCGAGTGTGATGCCCTTAGTTTGGCGTCCTATTCAGTCTCTGCTGTATCAACACCTATCGACCACAAACCAGATGGAGCAAACTAATAAGGCTGAAGCGCAGCCTCAGCAAGCCCGACTGCTTTTTTTATATCCCGCTGGCAACGCAATCAGATCCATTTCACGGCGTGTATGGGATTGTGCCTGTGCCACCGACCTGAGCGGCGGTAACAGGCCGCTGAAAACCTTCATCTGCGCTTTTGGGGCCCGGTTTTTAGGTAGGTAGGTAAATATTGTTTAGCTTTTACATGCCAATGCCATGTCGTGCTTTACGCATGAGCAGAGAGGAGGCTGCTGCCAATTATTAGCAAATCGATTTCGTTTGTCTTAAAAGAAACAGCGGCATGTTTAGGTCAACAAGAAACACTCTAGCTAACGTCAACGTTAAAGGTAGCGATGGCGGTGGCCGTGGACGCTGTAGCCAGCATGATCAACACCACAGCCCCCTTTCAGCAAGAACGCACAGCCGAGGCAGAACCCGTAGCTTGTCTCTGGCTCGAAGAAAGCCCACGCTTAAGACTGCAAGTGGTCAGATTTCTAACATTGATTTTCTACGCTGCACATTCGTTAGCAAAAGTTTCCCATCATTCATAGAGGAGGAACATCAGTGAGTTGTCATTTAGGGGAGAGGCAGCCTATTGGACAGAGCATTTAGGGTGCACCGGCTTCAGAGCGAATCTAAATATTTACTGACCTGCAGTGGACGCTGGACGGGCGGAGGCTTTTTCTGCAGCTGTGAAGAAAGAGTGACATAAAGATGGAAGCGCCGATGGCATTTAGAGGGAGAGAAAGAAAGAGAGGGCGAGAGGGAGAGGAGCTGTGGACGGAGAAGAAGGAAACACACACACAGTGGCGGCGGCGGCGGTGTGCGCGCCCTCGGTCCCAGAGTCACATCATCATAACACACTGCGAGGAGAAACACGCGCATATAGGCTACTGGGCAGCCTGCACGCGCATACGGGACAACCAAAGGCGCCCTCTTTACCCTACTGCGCACGCCAGCTCTTCCGGGTCTGAATGCGTTACACATTACAGGACCAGAAACCAGGGGGATGAATTACAGGGTTAAAATAGAAGAAAGCTGCTAAGATTTTTATCAGGCATCTATTTTTACATATTCGTTGACTTTTACTGTTTAATATTATTTCAAATCTATGGTACTGCCTTTTAATTATATTGGAAACCAATTATTTTCACCTGAGCCCAGGATGCAGCTCATACTTATATATGTATATATATAAAATGGTCGTTGCATTTAAGTAAAAACACTA